ATATATGTGCATGGACAGTCAAGATCTCCTTCAATTTATATTCAGCAAGATTTCTGGGAAGAGTATGAAATTTTCAGTAGTTTTACTGTCGCCGTCAAAATCTGATTTGTCTTTAAGGCGTCTTGACTAGATACATGGTAAATTGCGTCACAGAACACGTGTTTACTGTGGTGGTCTATCAGATGTCATTTTTATTGTATGTAACACTTGCTCCTGAATAACTGAAGATTTGCCTATTGACCAGGTGCACGGGTATCATTCGGTATATCGAAAAAAATGATTGTGAAAAAATAACTAACGGTGGTCAAGCATTTCGATCAGATCGTGAAAGATCTGGTATCGGATCATGAATGCAATTAAGTGTAATTCTACTTCAAAATCTGCTATTTTCAAAAGGTGGATCAAATCAGAAAAAAGAAATTTGTCTGTCAAAATGATTCAACTTCCTTAAAAATACTGTGCACTACGTTAAAGAAGAAATGCAGTACTTTTTCAAGAAAACACAAATTGCGACACACGATCCTATGAGAATCATTAAGAAAAAAATCACGATTTGTATCTATAAATAAATGGTCACATTCCTATATATCATGATATATTTAAAACTTAATCTTTTGTGTGTCAGAAAGTCCAAAAAATTCAAGTACAAAACTGTATGTTATTACTTGGAAAAGTACATATTAATTTTTGAGAAAAGTATAATTTTGTTGATTTTGAATCAAAATTGATCGTGAAAGACAAGGCGTTACCAGGCTTAATGATAAGAAAACAACATTTCAATTACCAATTGATATACTTGCAATTGGTTGAAGCGCGTAATTACTTAAAAATAATGAATGCGTTCTTTTTTGTGTGCGACATATATATACTATTATACATATAAACCCATATGTAGACTTGTTTTCATTTAATAGGCAATGCTAACTAGGCATCCAAGATAATAAGACCGCCAAGATCGCAAATTGTCGAAAAGGAAATCTCTTTGGAATTAGTATTTATAATGCTAAATGCATCCACGAATTAGTGAAGCGAGAGAGCGGGGGGTGGGTATATTGCTGGTCTTTCCCTGGAAATATCTTAATGTGTACATTTTTGTTTTCGTAAGGGTTAGATCAAAGAAGCTATATCAGTTTAATTTTACAAACAGGTATATTGAAGATGTTCTTTCTATTAACAATTCAAATTTTTCTGATTAGGTCCCAGCAATAGTCCTGAACATGAGATTACAGACACCACATCTACAGCTTCCTCAGCCTCAGTTTTAGACATATGTACCCCGAATTTGACTACAATGGCCATATCAATGCCCGAGTCTATGGTAAACAAAATTATTTCAATTTTGAAAATTATAAATTTTCCTTACCTTGGCAGCAATTTACCAACTTCATCCGCGTATGGATTATACATTTCTCAAAGCATAAGATATTCAGGAGCTTGCAGCTGCTACTCAGAATTTGTAAAACGTCACCAGTGTCTGAGCAAAAAATTAATCAGCCAGGCTTATTGTGAAAGAACGTCTTATTCCTTTTCTCAAAAAGTTCAAAGGAATGTACCAAGCCCTAATAGATCAATATTCAGTGTCTACTTCACAAATAATATAGGATATTTTTGGGCTATAAATTCTAGGTGCTGACTCTGTAGAATTTTATCTATTTTACAGTTTCACCTTTATTTGTCTTTGTACTGTTATGTTGCATTTGGTCGAATGACTCTTGCGGAGTGGTTTGGTACACGTGCATCCAGCTTTCAATATTTTGCCTTTTGGCGTTCCTAAAGCGGGTGGGTCCAGAGATGCGATTCGGACACATGAGGTTTTTATAGTGTCGTTTTCATTTTATATACCCTTGTATTTATATTTTACTTAATTTCTATTTTTTTGGGAATGACATGTCATTATGCTTGACTATACTGACTGCATTATCAATTACACAAACCTTTTGTTGGCGCCTTTGTTTGATTTATTTGTAAGTGTGTTTGAACGTTTAATTCAGTTGTGTTGTGTGTCTGTGATGTATGTTTACACAGTTTTGGCTGGATCCCAGTTATGGCCACGTTAACCAATTATGTCTGTTTGGGTTGCTCACTCAATTTGGCAATATAACGGAACATCAAAAAACTGTCAGGTGGGCGTTTTAGGTACAACAATGAGAAAATTCCAAACCTTATAGTCGGCTATAAAAGACCCGACATGAAAAATATGAAACAATTCAATTGAGAAAACAAACGGTCTAATTCATAAAAAAAACAAGTTACGAAAAACAAAAATGACAGACATGAACCAACGACCACCACTGAACTACAGGCTCCCGACTTGGGACAGGTACACGAAAGATGTGGCGGGGTTAAACATGTTGAAGGTGCCAACTCTCCCCTAACCTGGGACAGTGGCGTAACAGTACAACATAAGACATGACAGCTAGTTCAAAGCCAATAACAACCAATTAAAAAATCTTATACCTAAGGCATAGCCCTATTCACAAACAAAAGTGAAGCAGAATAAGTAATGCAAACCCAATTTTTTGCTATACCAATTACAAATATAAATTATCATGTCACTTTTTTAAGAATGATTTGATTTTGCAATAACGAATAAGCGGCAACAGATCTTTCACGATCCTTTTCACGATCATAAAAAAGCGGTACCAGATCTTTCACGATCCAAAATATCAATTTTCACAAATATTCACATGTTTGCAAAGTTTTTGATTAAACTAAAACAAAATACCTTTGAGAACCATTTCAAACAGTAATATGGAACGATTCTTTTAAGAGAAAAGTAGTTAATGCATTCATAATATAAAAATAAATCATGTTTGTTCACATTTTTATTTCTTTGAAATTTCGAAGAGCAATTTGACTTTTGTAGTTTTGTAAAAACGGTGTACGTTTGAAACTTGATTTTTCAGTCTCGGATACTGATCATGATGTTGAACCATTTTGACAGACATTTTTTTCTCTCCCATTACTTGTCATTATAATTCATTAAATTAGATTATTTACTGACGTTGCATGTGTCTTCTCGATAAGATTTCCATTCACGATTCTAGACCAGATCTTTCACGATCCAATCGCAACATTGACCACCGTTACTTATTCTTTCACGATCGTTTTTCTCGATATACCGAATGACAGCCGTGAAGTGATGCATGCATAGTAGGAAATACTTACACTGTCTCACTTCACATAAAATAACCTCATTTGAAAATATGTGAACAAATCGTAAACTTCGAACCCACATTCCGTTAGGTATAAGAGGAAGTCCTTATAGTACAAATTGATTTGAGTTGACAACCTCTTTTGAAAAAGTTCTTGTCAGGTGTGCTTCACACTTTGGCCTTAACCCAGAAAGCAGTTGGCTCAGAATTGACGACAAAAGACAGTACTTCAATTCATTGCTTTAATCGTAGCAATATTTGACTTACATTTAGAAATTTACAGTGAGGATCGGTTAAGACAAAAGGGATGATTTCAGCTTCCCCATTGTGAACGTTCAATTTCTGTGTAGTAACATTCCAGCAGCACGCCACCTTCGTATGGAGTATATATCTTCCAGTTGATATGATATTCCAGAGTTTGTGTTTCCTGATCATGATTTTCCTTGATAGAAAGCTTTTGAACCAAGAGTTCCAAGTGGTGAAGTTGAGGTCATCCTTTCAAGTTTTGCGGACACGATCACGAGTTGGTTGGTCGTTATGGAATATCTGGATCACAGATAACCATGGATATGTTCCAATAACCTTTCCTTGATTGTGACATCCTTGAATGAGAACTTAACATAAGCAAAATAACGGGTGGCACTAGTGGTGCAGGATCTGTTTATTTTTTCGGAGCACCTGATCAAACAAAGTGTTTGGTGGAGTTCGTGTTTTCTATATAGTGTTTTGAGAACTTGCTTTTAATGTTTTTTGCCACGGCATAGCCAGTTTCTCCGCTTCGACTTATGCGTTTTAAATGTCAAAGCTTATTTTTCCTAAAAGAATTTCCTAGATCCATATGTTCTATTAACAAGACAGTTATTGAATGTAGGCTTATTGTCACCACTTAGAACCTTTCAGTTTTCACCATGACTTATTTACTGTTAATGAATATAGCGGTCGCAAATGACCACCAATTTGACGGTTTATAGCCACGGATCGTCTATTCCCGATACATGATAAGCGCCACTCGTGGAACAGAAAATACTTACATACATGGATCATCGGAGTTCACCTTATTTTTAGTGTGGTTAAGGTTGCTTAAGTTTAAGTTTTTTTCTGTTTACTATTTTGTGGACAGTCAATTCTATTTTTTTTTTTAGGTCAAATAGAACAGTTTGTCCTTATTGCTTATCTCAATTTTTTTTATTACCACTTAGTGTTCAGTGTATTTTTCTGCGTGTTTTACATCGAGATTCTTACAACATCAGAACATCAAATTAAATATAAGCTATGGCTTGTAGACAGCTAAAACTACAAAGTTTGACGGCTAATAGCAAATATTACGTATTTATCTAGAAAAAAAGATAAGAACATGAAAAAATGTGCATGCATCGTCTTTTTAGATAAAACCAGATTTTGGTTAGGTGTCCTTTTACGTAAAGTGCAAAAATATGTTATGTGTAAATCATCTTATTAAAAGAGTCCAAACAAATATGAAAGACTTAATGCCAATTCTTAAAATGTTTTGCATATTAATAAAACTTAAAATCTTAAAATTCCACCTTGTTCCATGACCTTTCCGATTCTAGAATTTCTACAATAAAGTCTGAAATCTTATGTCAACCACCGCAAACCACGTCTATACTTTTTTTATGAAGAAAAAAATTCAAAATTCGTATGCATACACAATTTCGAAAGTTTACATTATAACGAATCTTGTATTTTTTAACACTCTCATCCAAAACAATATAGGAACATCAGATCTGCAATTTACAAATTCTAGTGTTGATATTCAATTGCAGCAAATACATAACAGCAAAAAGTTGGTAAATGTAAATCGATGCAAATAAACACAAAAGATCAAACGATTGTACTTTGTATTTTTGTCTTTCCACATGGTTACTTACAATTAACAAAGATGATATCAATGAAAAGAAATATTAAAACAAAAGTAATCTACTGGAAGCAAAAAGATAACCAGGTCCGCTGTATTAGTGCTTCTATGCATGGAGTCGCTAGCGCAAATTGTCGTAACGAAATCTCTTAATGAATACAAAATTAACGTTTAACTTATAATAATGTCGTTATGTAGAATACAGTTATGAAATTTGTTTTTTTTCAAACTTTCTTTAGAGTGTTATCATTAATTTTCTGAGGAATCTTCGATCGAGTACCCAAACTGTGCATTGTATGTGCCGCAAATTTACATACTTCTGCATGAATCCTAATACTTTTTTCGTCTTCCTAAAAATCTTCCCAAAAGTTATTTCAATTTCGAATATTTAACTAAGTTAGGTACCATTTATAATTTGAATTTCATACAATATACTGTATTTTCGTATATAAGTGTTACAAAATGTATAGACGATGCCACTGCACGATGCAAGCAACCTTTGGTTTTCTCATTACTGTTCCACAGAGCACTCAATGGTAAAAAGCAATGACTAATATACAATGTAGAGTTCTTAACAATGTCTTCCATAGAATGAAGAGTTCTCGTGATTAATGTCTACCATTAAAATGTGTATTTACATAATTATAATTCTGTCCCGATGATTTCCACAATATTAAACAATTCATACCACAAGACTAGACATAAATCAAGTTATAAAACAATTAAAGTTTCGGGATTTTGCTAGATATACTTCAGATATTATATATAGTCAGCTTCCAAGTCCAGTGTTTAGTCCCTAGTTCGTCCTGCATCCACCTATCACGTCATTTACTTCTGCTTCCATCTATGACGTCATTTTCTTTTGCATCCTAAAATTAAAGACATTTTCGACACTATTTAGAATAGAAGGAGGACGCCTTTATCAAAGGAGGCAGACTAGAAAAAATACAGTTAGAAAATTACTGTGATTTTCGCACTAGATTTTCGAACAAATATTTTGTAGACTTACTAAATAATTCTTTATTCACGATTTTTCTAACCAATTTACCAACTTAGATAAAAATCAGTATTGTTTGTTAAACCCCATAATTTATTACAAGACTGTTAATTTTTCATTTCGAATCTGAAGACCCTCCTTTTAACTGTCATTCAAAGAAAAATTTAAAAATTATAAAATTAGCGTGTGGTTTGGAATTGTTCGTAACGTGGATATGACGTAAATCATGATTTATAAGGCTTACATTTAGCTTTTCCGATAATAATTTATATATGTTCCGGACCATATGAGTATTTGGACCATACGCGTATGGTCATGACCATATAAGTATACTCATTTGGTTATTAACGGGCCGGACCATACAAGTATTTAGTTTAAACAGTATTTATTAATGAAAAATAACAACAATAAAGTATTACAATGTTACATGAAATTCAAATATGGGATTCGGAAACAAGTTTGGAAAAACTTTTATAAATCCGTCTCCCGGTTTTTAGACCATATAGGGTATTTTAAGAATAAATTTTAACTTCATTCACAGGAACACATGGCTCGTTCTCCGAAACAAAATCTATACAAGTTACTAACTGAAAACCTTTATTGGAATCTTAGTATATGTTGTCTTGCCTTAGCTAGAGTCAATTTCTAGCTTCTGTACGCTGCCGACAATTTCGTCCGGGCGTTTAGATTAGTATTTATTTTATTTCTTTTGATTTTCACTTATTCACAATTTACTATTGTGTTCATGTATTGTTTTATTTAAACAATCTTATTTTCCACATAAGAATAGAGGGACAGCACGTATAATCTACTGTAATTGCAAAAGCGTATAATTGAAATAGGAGCATACATGCACCAATTAAAATATCTAAAAATTATTTGAAATATTTAAGAAATTCTATTTTGCTAAGATTTAGAACTAACTGTCATGACCTTGAAATTGAAAGAGGGAGGTATGTTGGCATAAAAGAGGAAGACAGAAAGTGAAAGCTATGTAAGAACGCAATTGAAGATGAACAACATTTTCTTTCAAAATGTCCTATTCTGATAGATACAAGATATCAACATCTGTCTAATTTAAAATCAAAATTTACAAAAAAAAAAAAAAAACAATTCAAAGTTATCTGATCATGACTGATGAGATGAAATGTGTTTGGATTCTTCCATCTGAAGATTTGTTCGGTACTTCAAATTTATCTAAATTATTGCACTCCCTATTTGAAGAAAGAAAGAAACTTCTAGAAAATATCAATGTAGTTTGAAAAAATAAGTAAATAAAATGCTCCGCAGGGCGCAGCTTGATACGACCGCAGAGGTCGAACCCTGAACAGTTGGGGCAAGTATGGACACAACATTCAAGCTTGATACAGCTTTGCATTTGGATTGTGATTAAATATTTGACACAGCATAGGTTTCTGACACAGAATGAATGTGGTCTAAGAACTTAAAAATTTTAAATTGGACATTCACCTATTATGGTCCAATATCCAAAATCTAAATACATGGTTAGATTCAGCATATCAAAGAACCCCAAGAATTCAATTTTTGATGAAATCAAACAAAGTTTAATTTTGGACCCTTTTGACCTCAGTGTGGACAAAGTTGATAACGGGGCCAAAAAATCAAAAATCTAAATACATGGTTAGATTCAGCATATCAAAGAACCCCATATATTCAATTTTTGTTGAAATCAAACAAAGTTTAATTTTGGACCCCGATTTGGACCAACTTGAAAACTGGGTCCATAATCAAAAATCTAAATACATTTTTAGATTCAGCATATCAAAGAACCCTAAGAATTCAATTTTTGTTAAAATCAAACTAAGTTTAATTTTGGACCCTTTGGACCTTAATGTAGACCAATTTGAAAACGGCACCCAAAAATTAAGAATCTAAATACACGGTTAGATTCGGCATATCAAAGAACCCCAATAATTCAATTTTTGATGAAATCAAACAAAGTTTAATTTTGGACCCTTTGGACCTCAATGTGGACCAATTAAAAACGGGGCCCAAAATCCAAAAACTAAATACAAGGTTAGATTCAGCATATTAAAGAACCCCAAGAATTCAAGAATAAAACCCCATTGAAATTGGTCAAGAAATAAGCAATTTATATGAAGTATCTTCTTTTGCACAATACTGTGCAATTAAATTTTTCTTGCTATTGCGCAATACTGTACAATTGACAATTTCTTGCTATTGCGCAATATTGTGCTATTGGATATTTCTTGCTATTGCGCAATACTGTGCAATTGAAGATTTCTTGCTATTGTGCAATACTGTGCAATTCTAAATTTCTTGCTATTGCACAATACTTATAATATAATAATTTACACATCCTGTTTGGTGTGTATCTCCTACCATATCATTATTATTTGCTTTTAAATATAAATCAGAAATAACCAACTTAAAATGGAAAATTTTAAAAGAAAAAAAAATGAAAAAAAAAAAATCCCCCCCCCCAAATTTTTTGAACCCCCTTATGATTCATCACCCCCAAACTCAATCCCAGCCTTCCCTTTGTAGTATGGTACCTTGTAGTACAATTTCAGAGAGATCCATACACTTGAACACAAGTTATTGTCTGGAAACTAGAAAAATGTGTTTTTTGGCCCCTTTTTGGCCCCAAATTCCTAAACATTTAGGGCAATTACCCCAAAACTCAAACCCAGCTTTCCCTTTGTGATATGGAACCTTGTAATACAATTTCAGAAAGATCCATACACTTACACACAAGTTATTGTCCTGAAACTAGAAAAATGCTTGTTTTTTGCCCCTTTTTGGCCCCTAATTCCTAAAATATTGAGGCAATTACCCCCATCATCAATCCCAGCCTTCCCTTTGTGGTATGGTACCTTGCAGTACAATTTCAGAGAGATCCATACACTTGAACACAAGTTATTGTCTGGAAACTAAAAAAATGCTTATTTTTGGCCCCTTTTTGGCCCCCAATTCCTAAACGTTTTTGGAATTACCCCCAAATTCAATTCCAGCTTTCCCTTTGTGATATGGAACCTTGTAGTACAATTTCAGAAAGATCCATACACTTACACACAAGTTATTGTCATGAAACTAGAAAAATGCTTGTTTTTTGCCCCTTTTTTTGGCCCCTAATTCCTAAAATTTTGAGGCAATTACCCCCAAAATCAATCCCAGCATTCCTTTTGTGATATGGAACCTTGTGGTACAATGTCTGAGAGATCCATACACTAACACACAAGTTATGTCTGGAAGTTACAAAAATGCTTATTTTTGGCCCCTTTTTCCTTTACTGTTGGTACCATAACCCCCAAAATCAATCCCAACCTTCCTTTTGTGGTATTGAACCTTGTGGTAAAATTTCATAGAGATCCATTCACTTAAACTAAAGTTAGAGTGCGAAAACCAATGTGTCTTCGGACGACGCAGGACGACGCCGGACGACGACGACAACGACGACGACGACGCCAACGTCATACCAATATACGACCACAAAAAATTTTTTGCGGTCGTATAAAAACTGCGCCATGAGCGCATGATACGCCCGTCGTTTTTTCAAAGAATAAAGTTCCATAACTCCTCAACGTGATTTCAGAAATTTATAAAAAAAACTTAAGGGAGGTTATTTTAATAGATATAAACCAGTCACCAAAGTTTCATGAAAACTGCTCAAAACGCTTTTGAGTTCTTGTCCGAAAACTGGAAAATCCTCTTTTTTAATGAATAAAACCCTATAACTCTGAAACGTAAATATCTAAAATTTATAAAAATCGAAAGGGAGCTCACGTCAATATATATAAACAATTCACCAAAGTTTCATGCAAATTGGTTAAAGTGTTTTTGAGTTATTGTCCGACATGCTGACGACGGACGGACGGACGGACAACGGTATACCATAATACGTCCCGTAAACGGCCGTATAAAAATTGACCAGGTGTTGTCTCCCATAGGCCTAGTTATATACATTGATTGAGAAACGTATTTTCTCCAGGTCAGTGGCTTCCAAAAAGACTAATTAATGTTTTGTCAATGACATTGTTTATAAATATGTTACTTTGTTTTAATGTGTATACATGTTTTTGTTTAAATGTACTTTAATCACTATAAGTATTCATTGTGCGTTATTGTGTAATTATTCATTTGATTGTATTGCTAAAATTTGTGGCATCAAGATTGGTTAATAAACATATCTTATCTTATCGACAAACCATAACTTTTTAGTTGCATATCTAGTTAAGAAGCAGACGTATCTCAACCGGGTAGATGTTATCAACATTGTCACTATTCCAAACTTTGAATTATTCAGTGAAATCACCATCAAAACAGCTAGAGAAGTTTTTTCCCATTCTACTGCAGAACCCGATGTATGAAGTTTGCCTCAAATAATCAAAAGAGAATTTGGCGCCAACAGAATAACAGATAGTTCCAATAAGAATGCACACCGAAAGAGGGGCGGTAGTAAAAAGTAAAAAAAAAAAACCAAAAAAAAAAAAAACAACCCCCAACAGCGAAACATACACTTCCGATCATGAGAGGCCCTTCCACCATCTATGTTAGTCAATCTTCTTTTTTAAAAGTTTAGAGAAGTCGGTGTTTTAACACTGAATTTAAAGCAATTTTTATTTTGCCTTTCTCATTTTTCTAGAGTCGTCGGAAACGTGGCAACTGAACAATGACAATATCAAAATAAGAATATCCATAGGTTTGTGTACAACTTATATTTAATATCTACTAGCCAAGTGTTACAAAATCATATTATATTATCAGCAAAGTAATTGTTTCATATCCAATTTGACCAGGCGCAATATTGCTCCTGACCACTCTCCACAGTTCCAAAGACAGTTAGCTTGCCATCCAGCTTAGCAAATCAAAATAGGTAAAATTTGCCCAGGATGTGATAAGCATTATAAACAGCTTTTTTGAAAAACTGAATTCAGTTTTGTTACTTCTACACATTTAGTATGAAGCACTGTGTATTATATCTAAAAATACGTCAACGCTTTTCTGTGACTAAACAAGATTGCACACGGTACCTAAAATGTCTCGCCTGCTTCACTGGCCATGATTGAATTTTAAGCTGAAAGTCTTCAAGATCAGGCTGTGGATACATGTATCACATTTGCTTTACGCAATCAATGATCAATGAAAATGGGGTCATGGTCAGCAGACAGACATGATCACCTTACAAATATTCCATATAACTATATAAAGTTTTATACAGAAAACAACGTTCATCACTAATCCATGAAGACGTCGACGTCAGGGTAAACCCTGTCTGGCGAATATGTATGCCTTGCAACGATCCTATATATGCCTGATATGAGAGTCCTCGCATTCATTATAACTGAAATCAAGATGCTGTCAACATGTCGATGATAGCAAACCAGATTGTTATTACATTTATTAGGGCCATTTTAAAACGTAAAGCAATTCAGGGAAAAACTCCTGAACAACAAAATTGAAATTTGCCAATATCAAACTTGTCTGACCTCCATTTTGTCATCAGTAACAACATATTACAATTTGAAAAGAGCTGGTTGGCATGTTATCAACTTAAAGAAAAGAAATGGCCTAAAATGCCAATTTCCAGTCAATAGAGGATCACAACTCCTGAACGGCAAGAGTTAAAGTCGTCAATATCGAACTTGACCTCAATTTTGTCTTTAGTATCAACAAATACATATTTGAAATGCATTGGTTAAAACTATTCCCAATTGATGCCCGGAAACGACATTAAGTCTCATTTTTCAATGAAACGAGGAACTCATGAACGGCGAAGTATAAATTGTCAATATCAAACTTGACCACCATGTTGTCACCTGTAACATATTAAAGTTATTGGTTGAAAGGTTTTCAAATTATAGCATGGAAATGGCTTAACATGTCATTTTCCAATCAATCAACGAACGTCACCAATGAACGGCAAAAGTAAAAGCCTCAATGTCAAACTTGACAACATTCAAATTTGAAAAGCATTGGTTTGACCGTGACAGTTCATAAGTTAACACGCAGAAACAGCTGGAACAGCCCGACCATAACCAGTGTCCCCAGATGAATGACAGGATTTTCGTCGGAAAAGTTGGTTATTTAATGTTATATGATACTTCAAATAAAAAAAAAATGAATATGTTTTTTATACTTCAAATGGCTGAGTTTTACTATAGACAAGTGTACATGGACTTTCTTTTAGAAGAAAATCATTTATCTTATCAAAATCTTAAGAAATTGAATAATTGTCTTCCCGGTCTCTAATATATTGCCGATATCTTTTCCGTATGTGTTGAACTTAATCACCGTCTTAAGACCTCTCGTAATACTTCGGCAACCACATGTAGCGAAATTGCGAGGGAAACACCGTGATAAAAGAAAAGGTAAATTAACAAACGTGAAAGTTTGATAGTGTTAATTGATTCTGAAAGGAAATAATTAAATACACCAACTCATTTAATAGTGGTTATGACAAAGTTTAATGAACAAGTTATAGAAAGCATGAAAAAAAAAAAAAAAAAAAACCAACATCGCTGTATTTCATTTATCATCAAACTTATTGTTCACTATGGTCACGTTCGGTATACTTCGGCAATAAACACGACAGTTAATTAGCAGGGAAAGTTTCTGCTGAACTGCTTCGCTGAGCGCAGCTAGATACACCCGCAAAGGTCCAACCCTGAACAGTTGGGGCAAAAATGGACACAATATTTAAGCTTGATTCAGGTCTGAATTTGGATTGTTATTAAATATTTGACATATTATAGGTTTTTTGAATAAATGTAGTCAAAGAAGTTGAAATTGGTTATATGAATTGAATTTATATTCAATTCAAGATTTCTTGCTGTTGTGCAATACTTAGTAAATCTGTTGTCAGACTATAAACATATAAAGTTCAATTAATTCTCAATGTCATATTAGAAATTTATGAAAATAAAAAGGGAGCTTACATCAATAGATATAAACAATTCATCAAAGTTTCATGAGAATTGGTGACAGCTATTTTGAGTTATTGTCCGAAAACTGGAAAATCACCCCTTTTTTAATGAATAAAACCCCACAACTCAGAAATATAAAATGTAAAATTTATAAAATTCTAAAGGGAGCTTACATCAATACATACAAACAATTCACCAAAGTTTCATAAGAATTGCTGAAAGCATTTATGAGTTTTTGTCCGAAAACTGGAAAATCCCCCCTTTTTTTATGAAAAAACCTGTAACTCGGAAACGTAAAATCTAAAATTTATAAAAATCGAAAGGGAGCTCATTTCAATAGATATAAACTATTTACCACAATTTCTTGCAAGTTGGTGAAAGCATTATTGACTTATTGTCCGAAAACTGGAAAATCCCCCTTTTTTAATGAACAAAACCCCATAACTCGGAAACGTAAAAAATAAATTTTATAAAAAACAAAAGGGAGCTCACGTCAATAGATATAAACAATTCACCAAAGTTTTATGGAAATTGGTTAAAGCATTTTTGAGATAATGTCCGACATGTTGACGACGGACAGACGGACAACGGTATACCATAATACGTCCCGTAAACGGACGTATAAAAACAGTGCATATAGGACTTAATTTAGTATAATACATGCATTGGCTCAATAATTTCCGTAACATTATAATTTCAAGAAACTCATTTCATATGACTTTTAAAATACATTTGTAAAATGATTAAAATTATAGATTTAAAAGCAGTCGCTGAACCATGAAAATGAGTTCTGTCAGACGCAAACTTAAGATTATAAGGCACCTGCATACAGTTTAAAATCATTCAATGACCATAAAAGAGAGGCGAAAGATACCAAAGCGACATTCAAACTCATAAGTCGAAAAAACTGACAACGCCATGGCAAATAAACACCTGCGCCATGAGCGCACGATACGCCCGTCGCTTTTTCAAAGAATAAAGTTCAATAACTTCTCAATGTTATATCAGAAATTTATGAAAAAACTAAAAGGAGGTTATCTTAAGAGCCAATCCGCCAGAAAACCATGCAATATTCAGAAAATCGTCCAAATCGACAATCACAACTTGACAAATTTTTATACATCATCTTAATCTTTGACATAAAATAAAAGAATTTGACCACTTAATTTTTCCCAGAATCGTATCTATTTTTAGTAACAGCCTCATTTGCATAATTCTGTAAATTCATAATGAAACCAAGGAAAAATCCAACTTTTTTATGCCTTTTAAGAATGACCCAGAAGCATATTAAATGGGGTAGTTGAGTTTTTAGAGTAATGTCAGCTGAAACTCATCCATTTTACTATGTTATGATCAATACAAATGAAAATTTAAACGATTTGGCACATTGCCAGGAGCAGGGAGACAAAGGCCGGGTTTTTCATACATGAATTTACGTGGTTTTCATTCGCTTCTATCTTGCAAGACCCATTCAGGATTTGTTTGCAACTTATATCGGTTTTAACTATGGGGTATGTTTTATATCAAAACAAAATATTAAGCTTGGCAAATGACTATTATATGTTAATTTATGCCTTGGAAGAATGGTGATTTTAGTCCCAAATTGACACATTTTGATTTTGATTTTAATTAAATTCTAAACACAATTGGTACTAAAATGGCTCATAAAATCATTCGAACAAGTAAATTCAATTTGTCTGAAAAATGAAATAAGACGTATTTGTACTGCAAGTCCAAAAATCAATAAATTGTCTGAAACCAGGGAGTCCATCTTTTATGCTCTTCCATTGACTTATCTCCCTTGGGTAAGATCTCAAACATCTCCCAGTGATGGTTTGGCAGATAAATGTTTACAGTGAAGTTTGTGACTTTAATAATCTAGGATGAGCATGTGGGCTATCCCAGCCTTATACATCTACATATTACAAACTATTTAAGATATCTGAATGCACTAAAGACCAAAATAGCATTTCCAAAAAAAATAATTACTGCCAAGAAATATGACAATCATGACAATAATTTAGTGAATAAACATGATAAATATTGATTGGAAAAATAAGTCCATGAACAGCAAAAAGTGTTTTTAGATTTCAACGAGCAAAACAAAAGTATTCTAAATCATTCTTCGTAAAAAAAAAAGTGAGCTAGTGGAACCACCTTGCTCGCACCAAAATTGAGATTGAGAGTGTCAAAACTGCTCTGGCGCACCATCAATAAATCAACGACACTCTCTCTACCGTGGTATTGAAACCAGCATTGGTAACCAAACATATTCATACAGATACAGACTACCATTCATCTACATTTAGGAAGTCTGGATAATACTGAAAACTATGGTGTAGAATTTCCAACAGGACTCCTTATTTTATATAAGACAAGGAGTGGTTTATTTTCCCATGGTTGTTACATCATCTAGTCTTTGAATATGCTCGAAGTACAGGGACTTTTATGGAATTCATTGACATGATAGTCAAGCAAGATGTCAACATCTTGTCCAACCCTCTTCCAGCAAAGCCAAAGCTGACCAAGGATCTTCACCCTTTCAAAACAGGCTGTATACAGGACAAGTTATTCCAGTAGGAACAGGTACAAATCTAACAATCAATTTTCATTTGTTCCATATAGTCAATCTGAAATTAGGGGACCAACAATTGATACATTAGCTAGATTAAAAAAAGGGGGGGTGGGTGTTGAAGGGGCATGTGAATATTCTTGTACACCTGACCTGTTTCTAAGACATCTTATTTATTTCCTATGGCAAAGTGCAAGCAAATAATATATATCCGTATATACATTGTTCTGTCTTGGGACCATTTGATTAAAAAAGCAAGGGGGAGGGTTTACTAAACCCATTCTAACCCGGGGTTAGAATGGTCAAAATATTTATGTCCTTGTCAGCTTAGGACAGAATTTTAATTTTCAAGCTATTAACCAGGGTACAATATATATTTATTTTCTGCTTTAAAAAATCAATTTATAGACCAGAATCATGATAATAATCAAAATCTATTTCAACATATTCAACGTTTAGCAGGTCAGGTTTTTATTCTCTTCCCCTAAGTTATATTTTCAGTTCTTACTGGAAGTTGTTCAGCTCTTTGTCTACTAAAAAAACTTTTATCTCGTGGAAAAGCCTCCTACAAATACATGTTTTACATACAACATACTGTACATGTAACACTAGACAACTTTATCCAGAGAATAATATTTTTTTAATGAACTAATCATGCTAATAGGCCATGGAGACTAAAAAAATCAAAAGCATTGCAAACTTTTGTAAAGTTCAATTTTAGGACCCTACATGTACATGTATGTAGATTACTTATAGAGCCCTTTTTAAAAGAAAAAACATACATTTAAACTACATGCACAGTGATGCTACACTACCCTTCATTTCCTGTCTGATATATTTTATTTCATGTAAAACAAAATTGAAGAATTATTTTATAGTTTAACACTTTTTATTTGTAGGGCTATATATATGCAAGCAATGCTCAATTAAGATGAATTTTTGTAAAAGTGACAATAGCCAGGTCAAACTAAATACATGTATAGAAGAAGATATTGGTAAGTTATTATTAACTTATATATTAATTTAACTGTTTGTATAACATGGTAATCATACAAAGTATATGTAATCACTTATATAATAACATAATTATACAATTACATGTTATACATTTGTACATCAGTTTTATTAAACAGGTCTTTGTTAACTTGGTTTTCCCAATGAAAAATCACTTTGCTAATTTTAATTTGTAGTACTATATTGGGCGGCTCCTCTAGTTTCCATTCAATAACTAACAATGACTAATGAACTGTTCATACATTCCATTTCAATTATTTTATTTATTAATACGTATTACTTTTACTGTTAAGTCTGTTTTTTGTGATATCCATTTTACGTGACTCTGTATTTATGTATCCCGTCATACTTTGAACGACAAAATTATTTTATGTCTACCTGTGCGAATTTCAAACGCGCGATTTTACGCCAGTACTTAAAAATCTTCCATCCTTTATGGGTGGATTTTACATAGATATATAAAATCGTATAATATAAGCAAAATGAGGATGTTAAATTTGATGTATGCCTTTTTGTGCTTCTTCGTTACATTTGTTTGTTTTTATAGTGATTAAGATGATAACACAATGTTGACTGCTGTACCCCTATTTTTTACAATTTTACCTATTGTGTCTGTTTGTTTTGTTCACGCATCGTTGTCAATATAATGGAATTTGATGCGACTGTCATACAAGTGAGAGGTTTATTATCTAGCTATAAAACCAGGTTCAATCCACCATTTTCTACATAAGAAAATGCCTGTACCAAGTCAGGAATATGACAGTTGTTATCCATTCGTTTGATGTGTTTGAACTTTTGATTTTGCCATTTGATTGGGGACTTTCCTTTTTGAATTTTCCTCGGAGTTCAGTATTTTTGTGATTTTACTTTTTCAAATATAAAAGGGGGAGATTTTTATTGGTACTTTTGAAGATATTTCACCTGTTCGATTAATTGATTGGTTGTTGGTAATGCTAATGTCCAATGGCAAATAGTTGGCATGTATGTTTAGGACAAGAACAAATTAAAATAAATACATTATTTGGGTTCTTAATATGCTACATGTAAATCTAACAATGTATTTAAATAATTTAAGATGTTGCAATTGGGCCCCATTTTACATGTTTTAAATTGGTTCACATTGATTTCAAAATGGTCCAAATTTTTTTTTCTTATTTCTACACAACTTGAATTCTTGAGGTTCTTTTGATATACAAAATGCAAATGTTTTATATTTAGATTTTTAATTTTGGTCCGGTTTTCAAATTTGTCCACATTTTAAAGTCCAAAGGGTCCAAATTTTAACTTAGTTTAATTTTAACAAAACTTGAACTCTAATTACAATGAATTAGGGTTCTTTGAATGATAAATAGAAATAATCAAATATCCTGAATATAAATATGTACTTAGATTTATGATTTTGGTCCCAGTTTTCAAGTTGGTTCAAATGGGGTCCATAATTTAACTGTGTTTGATTTCAACAATAATTTTAAAGATGCTGATTCAGCCTGAATCTAACCTGTATTTAGTTTTTGGGCCCTATTATGAAATTGGTTTACATTGAGGTCCAAAGGGCCCAAAATTAAACTAAATTTTAAATCTTAATTTGATCTTGGGGTTATGCTGAAACTATTAAACTTTATGTTTATACCATATTTATTCTGTGTTAGAAACCTATTCTTTGTCAAATATTTAATCCCATTACAAATTTAGAGCTGTTATAGCTTGAATGTTCTGTCCAAACTTGCATTTTTAGCTCACCGGGGCCAAAAGGGCCCCATGTCAGCTAATGCCATCACTTGGCGTCCGTCGTCGACCGTCGTCTGTTGTCATCTGTTGTCGTAAACTATTTCAAAAATCTTCTCCTCTGAAACTACTGGGCCAAATACCTTCAAACTTTAACTTAATGTCCCTTAGGGTATCTAGTTTATAAATTGTATCTGAAGTTTTGATCCATCGACAAACATGGCCACCATGGCTAAAAATAGAACATAGGAGTCAAATGCAGTTTTTGGCTTATATCTCAAAAACTAAAGCTTTTAGAGCAAATCTGACTTGGGGGAAAATTGTTCAATTGGTTAAGATCTATCAGCTCTGAAATTTTCAGACGAATCGAACAACCCATTGTTGGGTTGCTGCCACCGAATTGGTAGTTTTAACAAAATTTTGCAGTTTTTTGTTATTATTTTGAATATTATTATAGATATATATATAAACTGTAAGCAGCAATAATGTTCAGCAAAGTAAGATCTACAAAAAAGTTAATATGACCATAATTGTCAATTGACCCCTTAAGGAGTTATTGCCCTTTAAAGACAATTTTACACAATTTGTTCATCAAGTTTGCTAACATTTCAAAATCTTCTCCTCTGAAACTACTGGGCCAATTACCTTCAAACTGTAACTAAATGTTCCTTAGGGTATCTTATTTATAAATTGTATCCGAAGTTTGTATCCATCGACAAACATGTCCGCCATGGCTAAAAATAGAACACATGGGTCAAATGCAGTTTTTGGCTTATATCTCAAAAACTAAATCTTTTAGAGCAAATGTGACATGGGGTAAAATTGTTTAATTGGTCAAGATCTATCTGCCCTGAAATTTTCAGACGAATCGAACAACCCATTGTTGGGTTGCTGCCACCGAATTGGTAGTTTTAACAAAATTTTGCAGTTTTTTGTTAATATTTTGAATATTACTATAGATATATGTAAACTGTAAGCAGCAATAATGTTCAGCAAAGTAAGATCTACACAAAAGTTAATATGACCAAAATTTTCAATTGACCCTTTAAGGAGTTATTGCCCTTTAAAGACAATTTTACACAATTTGTTCATCAAGTTTGCTAACATTTAAAAATCTTCTCCTCTGAAATACAGGTGAGCGATTCAGGCTCTTGAGAGCCTCTTGTTTCTTCATCTTCCACAAAATTTGTCCTTTTCTGAGATAACTGGTGTTATCTTTTTAAATGAAACTTTAGTGAAAAGAAAGCACAATATGTGGATCATTATCTGATGTCAAACATTTTCAAGATGGCCACCAAGGATGGCACAAATTTCAACACTGGTTAATTTAATGAAAATTGTCAATTAGGGATAGTCGTGGTAGTTTGACTTGCTTTTAAACAAAGTAAGGTTGTTTTTTCTTCCAAAATGGCAAACATTTTCAAGATGGTCTTATATGAAAATTGACATTAAGGAATTATAGCACTTTTGACATGCCTACAAAACAATGAAATTTTTTTTTAAAGATGGACACAGCAAATAAAGAGTAAAATTTTCAATTTTGTTGAGTTTGATTTTTAAAGAATATTGATATTTAGCTGTACTTTGACACAGAGAACAGATATAAAGATGGCCACCATTTCAAAGATTGGCACTAAAAGCGGTCAAATTATCACCATTGTCTGTTTTCAATGTAAAATTATATTGAGAGGTAATTTGACATGCCAAACCAAATGGAGGCAATTTTTATTGTTGTAAAGATGTTAAGGGCTATTTGGACATGCTTAAAAGGAGTGGATAATAACTATTCTGCAAAAATGATTTGGCTTTAGTTGGGAGAATTTTGTAACTGCATCCACATACAGTAAAAGTTGTCAATTCTATTTCCTGTCAGTGGTATATATGAAATTAAACAAAAATGTGGTATGATTGCCAATGAGAACAAATGACATAGAAGTAAAGCTATAGGTCTTCATATGCCATATGGCCTTCAACAATGAGCATGACCTATACTGCATATATATTCAGCCATAAAAGGCCCCAAAATAAGAAAATGAAAAAATATGAAAACTAACAGCCTGATTTATGTATGTATGTTTTGTGGTTTTCAGATCTAGACTCGCAGCTAACCTTTCTGTCAGTGTCAACAACAACTGAACTTTCACAGCAGTCAACATCAGATTGGGAGACTGATAATGCTTCTAACAGAAACAATTTCAACCAACCAAACAAGCAACAGAAACTTTCCAACTTTAAAACATCAGTTAAATTCCATGGGATGATGTCTCAAAAAATAACAGTTCATCATTTATGGAGATTTTAATGTTATGGTTTTTCTTTTACAAGAAAGTTAATGTACACTTGTTTTATAGTAAAACCTATAGCCGTTCAAGTATAAAAAAACACATTCAACTTTATTGAAATTTGAAGATTCATATGATTTATTTTAATTCTGTTATCTCCGAAGATGTGATGTAGAGCATTATAGGTACAGTAATCTTAACAGCTATCCAATTTCATTCAAAATTCTTTATAAATTTTGCACTGGTATATATAGACTAAGTAATTTGTTTTTCGTCTAGTTATGGGATTTTTTTTTAGAAGCATTTATGATTTTCATGTTTGTATTGACCACATTGCAGCAACATAGATATAGGTACCTGGCAAATCTTGCCTTGTTAGCATACTAGGCTCAAAGGGTCATAAAAAAATTTCCATCACTAAGTGTCTGTTAAAATCATCTGTTTACAGTTTTCACTTTTAAACCATCATCTTAATAACTTTAGAAGAAGTGTCATACATATATATATGTATACAAAATTTAAAAACTTTTCAATATATTTGGTGTACAAAAACCTTTGCACCTTTTGTTTGCGGTATACCATCTTTTTCGCAAGTTTATTGTTTTCTGTTTAGTATTAAATTTATAATTAAGATCCATTTATTACATGGGTGATCCGTTTATTTGGCAATCGCCAATGGCAGTCAGCAGGGTTTAAGAACATCAGTTGTTCGACCTGCTAGTCAAATGCGTTTTGTTAAAATATACTTTTATACTCATTTGGTCCATGTTGTCCCTGAAATGTGTAAATTTACAAATTTTCACAGTTTTCTGCTACTATCCAACAACTATATCAATATATTATAAGAATAAATTGCAAAAGTGGTCAAAAGAAACTTTTTTTTTACAGTCTGAACTTATTCTGAATTGTTTAACTTCTAATTTAAATTGATTGCGTTTGAAATATGTGTTTTTTATCGTTTTAGGTGCTCAATTTGTCAATACGATCTATTTCGGCTCCTGGGAGCCTCTAGATTTATAATGAATAATTTGTATTTATGTATGATTATTTTCTTAATGTATTAAATGAAACATTAATTATTCTTTTCCATTTGTTGTTATACTTATTTATAAGTCCAGATCCTATCATATGTCAGTAGTTACAAATTAGACGGCAAAATTGAGAAAATTTGAATATGCAGGTTACCCTATTTTGTTGTGGCATATACCAGACACCAACAGTATTTGCCGAGCTTGATATTTTTTTTGATTGGGTATATATAGTTATACTTTGCAAGTAGATATGTTGTTTTACAATAATAAACGGGTCTTGGAGTATTTTGGCTCTGAAAGATGACCAAAATCAGCCATTTTGGACATGTAGCTAAATAAGACATATTGAAACAGTTAGATTATACATACACATAATAGACAGCATTGTTAATTCTATGCATTCTTACACTTAAAGTGATGTATTACTAGGAACAACTATCAAAAAATTATAAATGTTACCATATTTTTTTATTTAAACCAGCGAAATATGCAAAAAAATGCTTATTTTTGCTGTTTTCGAGCAATTTCATCTGTTAAAACATGGCGCTCAAAAAATATCCAGATCGGTTCAATATTTTCCCAAAAAAATTTGTGTGGTTATTTACATTACTAAGGTGCACCAATATGCCAAATATGAACTCATTTGGAAAAAGTGACATTCGGACGGTTTTGCATGGTTTTCTGGCAGATTGGCTCTTAATAGATACAAACCAGTCACCAAAGCACTATGAAGATATTGTCCGAAAACTGGAAAATCCTCCTTTTTTAATGAATAAAACCCCATAACTCGGAAACGTAAAATCTAAAATTTATAAAAAATGCAAATTGGTTGAAGCGTTTTTGAGTTATTGTCCGACATGTTGACGACGGACGGACAACGGTATAACATAATACGTCCCGTAAACGGGCGTATAAAAAAGAAAAAGACCAAAAGACAATCAACAGTACACAAAACACAACATAAACAAGAGGCTGTCAGAGTGACAGCAAACCGGATTTTCCTGCAGAGGTCGAACCCTGAACAGTTGAGTAAGTATGGACACAACATTTAAGCTTGAAACATCTCTGAATTTGGATTGTGATTGAATATTTGATACCGCATAGGTTTGTGACACAAAATAAATGTGGTCAAAGAACTGAAAAATTTGAAATTGGACATTTACCTATTATGGTCCAATATCCAAAATCTAAGTACATTGTTAGAATCAGCTTATCGAAGAACCCCAAAAATTCAATTTATGATGAAATACTTATTAATTAAAACAATTTCTGTTCAAAGGGAAATAACTCAAACTTGTTTCCATGAACCAGTAATGCAAATCTAAAATAAGAAATGATTTCACCACTAAAAAAGATGTTTTCAAATTATAATCAAATATAATTAATAGTTCCCAATATTTTTTCTTTCATTTGTCACAAACTAATATCTTATCTGCAACTTATCTATCAATGTCAACAACGTTATCTACACAATGTAATGTAATGAAATATATCCTTTAATAAAAATAGATTATTATCTAATGAAAAAGATATTTTCAAATCTGGACACCCAAACAGGATCAAGTAAAAATTTAGCATTAACACACACAACAAAAATAAAATACCACATAACAACTGTGACATCTACCTTCAAAAAACACATGACTTAAAAAAAATAGTTATAAAGAAATGTTTGACAACTCCTGACTAATCAATTGAACAGACACAATCATTGATAGACTATCTATACATCTCAACTATACATAAACTTATTAATTTCTGTTCAAAGGGAAATAACTCAATCATATAATAAGTCAATTTCTAGTTTCTAAAAGGGTAAAAAATTCAAGAACGAGAAAAGCTTAAGTCGTGAAAATTGAACTTGACCTTCATTTAGTCACAGGAAACAAGATATCAAAATTTGAAAAAATTTCATCAAAGCGTTTTCATGTAAATGAACGTACACTGTTTGGCAGCCGCCCGCCCGCCGTACATCACCAAATCAATAACCGATTTTCCCTTCGAAAATCCGGTTAAAAATGAAAGACTGAGCAACCAGAACCCCACCAAAAAACCGGGGATGATCTCAGGTGCTCTGGAAGGGCAAGCAAATCCAGCTCCACATATGACACCCATCGTTTGGCTCATGCAAGTACAAACCCAGTGATGTCTAATTCGGTAGGTCACATTCGGGTAAAAGAGGACGGGATTGTGGCTACGACAATTGGAACATATCCGTCAGCATCTGTGAAACAGATATTCCATAACGGTCAACAAACTTGTGATGGCGTCCGTAATTCACGAACTTGTTTTAATAGCTTCCTTGTGATTAGCAACCGTCTATCAAGGAAATCATGGTAGGAAATTTAAGCCCTGGAATATCACATCAACTTGGAGATATATACTCCGTATGCAGGCCTGCTGGAATGTTGCTACATAAAAATGGAAGGTTCACAATTGGGAAGCTGAAATCATCTCTTTCGTCGTAAAGTTTTGTTTTCAACCTAACATCATTGTCAATTTCAAGACGCAAGTCAAGATAGGAGGCATACTCAACTGTATCTGTTGTATACTTTAACTCGAATTCGATAGGATACATGCTTTTAACAGTGACCAAACTTTGAAATATTTAGTGAGAGGCCATCATCTGTATACCGGAAAGTGAAGTTAAAAGATAATACTAACTTCTTTTCCTTCTTCATAAGAAGCTCCTGTATGAAGTCGGCTTCATGTGAATAAAGATAAAAAGTCGGCAAGAGGAGGAGCACAATTTGTTCCCATGGGAATGCCGATTGTTTGTTAATAAAATAAACACGTCCTCCAAACGTAACAAATATGTTGTCAATGAAGAAATCAAGCATCTTGATAATGTCAGTTTCCGAGGTATTTTTGTTTGAATCAGAGAGATTTTTTTATAAGGTACGATTTATCCTTCCCTAAGACGCTCATGAACGGCAAAAGTGAAAAGCGTCAAATATCGAAATTGACCTAAATTAGGTATCAGTAACAGCATATTTAAATTTTAAAAAGCATGGTTGGACGGTTCACAAGTTTTAAAACACGCAGACACCTATTGATTAATAAAGCTTATAAAAATAGTAAACTTCGTCGTCGCAGCTAGGTTAGCATCCCAATGTCTTGCCTTTTGTGTTAGACGAGACAATAACAACAAAATGCATTCAATTCAAACAGCTACAAGAACCTGTAAATAAATTTAGCGTACTCCTTTGCATATGAATAAAATGCGACATAAAAGAGACACCACTTGAAGCATTAAAGTATATTACGCCTCCGAGGGTAGCACCACCCAATAGCAAGTACTATGGTATTAGTGAGGTTTAAATGATAAAATTATATAATTGTGCCAAGTCTCAAGTTACAGTTCCATCGGGTTTTTGCTGTTCTGTGTCCTTTTGGCTTTTTGTCCTCAAACGTACTTTTTGAATTTGGCTTCGAACGTAGCTCATGAATTTTATTTTTAATGAAGTTGCGTCATTACCTATTAACCCCTCTGACACACATTACAAAATCGCTTAAGGTGATATCAAGATGCTATTTTTTTTGCTGACAACATATATGATTCGTTTGATTGTAGATTCGGCCTACCAATGACAACCAGCCGTGTTTCTCTTCTCGTAAACCTTTTTGTTTGTTTGTAAAGACAGACCGCTAAAGGGCTTCTCAAGAAGAATGGGAAAAGCTAGAACTATTCTTCAACTTCGTTTCTTTTTTAAAGATGGTGTCCGCTCAATAAAAAAATCAAACTTTGACAACTGTGTAGATTGGATCTTTCTATCGCTTTGACTTTGAAATATAGAAGACTATAGACAAGTTAGGTCTTTTCCATATCTTGAATTTCATCTAGAAATTGACAATGAGGGTCGGTCGAGTACTCAACTTGACGACAAAAAATAAGGTTTAATCATTTCCACTGCTTGTATAGAAACATTCCAGTAACACCTTGCATTACGTATTTATATGTCTCCTATTTATTACGACATTTAAGAGCTTGCGTTTCTTTTATGCTTTCCTTCATAGAGAGTTGCTCCACACAAGGAAGCAATTTAACAAGGTTTCTTATAATAAAGTGGAAATCTGCTGATCGAAAGTTGCATACAAAAAATTGAAATTTGGTTGACCGTTATGGTTATTGAACATCTGTATCACAAATGATCATATCCTGACCTCCTGCCCTCGTTTATGACATTACCGAATGCAACTATCGCCGTTTTTTTTTACCAGAACAGCACGCCGAACTACAACTAGGGGTAGATTAATTGCTTACACCTCCGGAACATTGGAGTTTATCCCGGTTTTTGTGGGTTTGATGTTGCTCAATCTTCAGTTTTCTGTGAAGTATTTAATAGAACCTACTGTTTGTCTCGTCGTCTCTTTTCTTTAACGATGGTGTGGTCTTTCTTCAACTTGTTGTTGTTGATGACCCTTGGTTTCCTCTTATTTTTTTTTTTTACATGGAATTCATTTTCAATATAAAAAGTCTGACGTTAATATTACAACCCTTATAATCCATTTTCATATCAATCATAACGTCATCAAGGGAATGCGTGCAGTTATCTTTCAGTAAAATGTGAAGCATCACTTTTCCCACTTTCAACTGTTTAAAATCTTGACCAGCCTTAATTAGCCCACTATATTTGTCCTTTCAATGAAAAGCCATTCATAATTCGTCAATTACATTACAATGAAAGGCATACTGTCGTCATACAAACTAACTGATTTCGAGGAGTCAATCGTTTTTTACACATAAAACTTCCACTTTGTGTCTCTCTTCCAGATTTACTTTTCTTTTGTATTGCACAATATTGTGCTAATTCGTGATTATCTTTTCACAAAGTGTTGCGAGGGTTCAGTTCTTTCGGACACTAAAATTTTTGACCGGAAACCTATACTAGTATTTTATATTTATCCTTTCCACAAACGAAGTCGTCAATGAACTATCTTTACACATTGCGAATTCAGTACCTACGAGGGACGTCAAATTTATTGCATGCATTACTTATGTAACAGACCTTTCAAACATACTTGCAATTGCATTCATAATGGGCTATGGACA